CCCCCCTGCGGTGCCAGATCGAGTATTTGGGCTGGCTCAATATTGTTTTTTATCCCCACCGTCTTTGGGAAGGTTCTAGACCTTCGCTAGACCTTTTTTTTATTTTGGTTTTTTTAAGTTTCTTTTTTCTTTTCTTTCTTTCTTTTTTATTTTTTCCAAACATCTTTCAGGTTTGTGAACATTTTTTGTGGTTTCATGAATATTTTGTGAAATCATGAACCATTTTCAAATTCATGATTTTTTTACTAATTTTCGAACATTTTATTAATACACTAACTTTCCTGAAAAATTCATTAATACTTTTTAAAATTTTGTGAACATTGTTTGAAGCATGTGAACATTTTTTGTATCAGCAAACATTTTTATAATTGGCGATTATTTTGGAAATTCACAGACATTTTTTTGTTTTGATGAACATTCTTTGAATCATGAACATTCTTTAAATCAGTGTACATTTTTTTAATAGATGAACTTTTGGTAATTCACGAATATTTATTTGGTTTTTATGAACATTTTTTAGTAATTCTTGAACAGTTTTTGAATTCGTGAACACATTCTAGAATACAAAAACATTTTGTTCAAAATCATGAACATTTTTTCTGAATATGCGAACATATTTTCAAAGTGATGAACATTTTTTGTGAATATACACACATTTTGTGATTTCTTTAACAAATATTTGATAATTAGTAATACTTTTTGTATTTTTTGAAATCTTGAATTTTTTTGAAAGAAGGAAAAACAGAAAAGAAAAAAACAAAATGCAGAAAAAATAAATATATAAGGTGGGCATCCATCCCCACTCATGGGCGGGTCCAATAGGTCGTGCGGGAGGGGAGCGAGTGCACGCTGCTCGTTCGCCAGCGTGTCACGCGATATATAGGTGTTCCATATGACAAAATCTAGTCGCGCAATCTGGACGGGCCTCCCATCTACATACAAATGACAAATCCATTGACCATTGTAGAACCACAAAAAAAAGTGTACACAGTGTAAGTAAAAAGATAGTAGTACGTGAACGATGAGGTAATTAAAGACGCGTGATGGTTTCTCGTGCCGCCGTCGTCGCCACCACCGGAGAAATGTAGGTCCCCCTGCCTTCGGCTGCTATCTTGGCGCTGAAAGGTGGGGCATCTCAGATTTTCAAGACCCCTATGTTCTTCGCCAACGTCTAGTGATCATTATAGTTTTCTGAGAATAAATTTCCTCTCCTTATTTTGGCGTTGCTATGAGGTAGAAGGTTTTCTGTCCTCACAGATCCGGTATTCGGATTTGATGAGTTTATGTTGTAGTGTCCAGTTTATTTTGTTGGTTTGATGCATTGTGGAGGTGACATCTTTCGTCAACACCATGATGAATATATAATGATTCGACGGCGTGCACCTTTAGGGGATCATCTCCGGCCCAAGTACGTTCATCAATCAAGGCTTTCCATCTTTTTAGGTGGGCGGCTCAAGTCGCTTTTCAAAAAATCATTATTGGTAATGTTCGTGCCGGTGAGAAAGTGATAAGATCGTTTGCTACAGTCCAATTGCAGCATGTTTATCAAAATCTTTAGAGTATTTCTTCGAGCAGAGGTTGATACCGCGTAAATCTTAAGATTTACTTTGTATTTTCTTAAATCTTAGGTCCAAGTATACCTGTAATAGTTATGAGTATGAATAAAGTCACAAGTGTTTCTTTAAAAAAAAAGATAGCAATACGCTACGTGACACGGTGAGAAAATGATCATTACATTTCGGCCAAAAAAAGACAATAATCATTACATAAGAAAACCTGCAACACCCCGAAAAGCACACGTCTTTTTTTTTTAAAAGGAGGATGACCCTCGGCCTCTGCATCTGGAAGATGCATACGGCCATTTTATTGATTATTCTCGAGGACCTTACAAAGTAATACAACAATATGCCTGAATCTGTCATCTTGGCAACATCTGCCGCTACTCCTATCCATATGATGAAGGGGGTGCAAGCTGGGCCAAATACCCAGACCTCTCACCAAAGCCTAACATCTAAAGCCTGAGGCCCCGACCGAGCCACATACCGGGTCCGGGGCACAATCCGGTCTGACGCACTCACATGTGTCGTCGCCGCCATCTTCCACTGGTCCATCTTCAGAGCAGATTGAGATGCCAACCTTGGCAGGATCCTCCGCCATCGACGCCATCAAGACGCTAAACGACGACCACCATCTACGCTAGTCCATCTCCAAGCAGAAGGAGCGCTACCACAGGACGAAGACCGACGGAGAATAGGTGAAACGCTGCACACAATGCCGCCGCCAAACACCTTGCACGCACCGCAAAGCGCCCACCATGCTTCCGAAAACCCCAGGTGACGCCTTCAAGAAGGAGCGTGACGAGGGTACGACGCCGTCGCCCGCAAGGGGAACTAGAGCTTTCGCCCAAAGGAAGATCACGATGAAAGACGGGAGAGGACCTCGACAAGGCCTCCAAGAAGGGGACCGACGCCCAGCAAAGGCGCCGCCATTGTCGTGGCCTCCGCCGACGGCCAAGGGTTTCCCCCGGTCCCGCCCCCATCCCATCCACCCAGCCAAAGATCTGGCCAGGGGAGCGCACGCAGCCGAAGAAAGCGTTGGACTTCATCGAAGCAGGCACGCCGGGTGACGGGGCACCCCGACCCACTGTAGTAGACGTCCACCGAGACCTCGCCGCCTGCACGGCCGAAGTCACGGACCACCAGCACCCATGACCGTCGCCCGCCGAAGAGGCAACGCCGTCCACACCGCCCGAGGCCGCCGCCCCGGCATCCACCCACCGCACACATCCCGTCGAAACATGGAGAACGACCCACACCACCGCCACCAGGGAGCACCACACCGCGAACATCCAAGCCGGGCAGGACGAGGCAAGGCCACGCCGGCCAGATCCGGGCGGATCCGGCGAACCCCGGCCTACCAGCCGCCAGATCGGAGTATGGCTCCGATCCCAGGGCCAAGGCGGCCGGATCTGATGGGCGGAGCCGTCCCCGGCGACAGGCGCGGGGCGACAACGCTGGCGGCAGCCGTTGCAAAGGGCCGGCCTCAGCGGCCACCAAGGAAAAGCGGGCAGCGGCGCCCGATGTGGGGTGGGGGGCCGGCCCTCCAGAGGTCGAGGCGGGTGCGCGGGGAAGCCCCCGCCGCCGCCTACCGCTGCGCGGGCAAGCCCGACGACGGCTGCCGGCGGCGGCGGGGAAGGAGGAGAAGGGGAGGCGGGGGACCGGTGGCGCCTAGGGTTTCACCCCCGGGTCGCCCGAGAGCGGACGACGCGGGGGGAGGAAGTGGATGATTGTAAAAAAAAAGCACGTCTAGGAAACATTTATTATGTGATTAATAATGTAAAACAACGAGGCCAACACAGTGAATTAACATACACTTAGACAACATCAGAAGCACTGACCGGGGCATTGTGGGACCTGCCGACGATACCGACATGCGCGAGCAGTGCCCAGAGGAGCGTTATTAGCTCACCACCCCGGGCAATGGCCTCCGCGTGCCCATTGATGTTCTCCGACGGAGCAACATAGAGGATCATCTCTGACCAAAAGCCCGCAAGAACCTCCCAAATTGTATCCTCTCTTTCAATCATCCCCGCCAAACGCTTCCCAAGCTCCACACCCTTCTGAAGCACCTCATGCATTGGCCTTGTACTGAGCAGCTCGACCAACTGGTGGTACTCTGCTTCAGGCGTTGACGCCCGAATGCCACCGGCGAGGGCACGGTCAGCGTCCTTCTTGACGGCCTCGTACAAGCTCTTGCACCAAGCATCGTCGTCAGGGAGCAGCTCAGGTGAGTATGCCACCAAATATGCACAATATCGTGATAAGTGAGTGGCAGTAATCCTATGGTTCGAAAAAGGCTGGTGTTGGTGTGATCTCACTTGTAGGATGCTCGTAGCGATGTGGCACACAAGCATAGTATCGCATGTACCTTCATCATCGAACATCCAGCAGAGCTCCTCACCAACTTGCAAGCTCCTAGGCATAGATGCCATGCCATTGGTTCGGCGACTCTCCTCGTAGCTTCTGAGTGCGTTGATGATAGAGGCCTTCACCGCTCTTGGTATCTTCTTCTTTTGTTGCGGTGTATTGATGAGACGCCCAAGAAAAGCCAAAGGTGTTTTCGCTGGGCGGAGCATGAGAATTGAGCACTGGTTCATTTTGTCCTCCCAGATCTTAAACAGCTTGCATCTGCACTGCAACACACGGCTGACGCATCCTCGCCAGGCACGTGATTGTTGCCAAGAAGCATGCTTCACGTAGCCGCAGATAAGGGCCACTTTAGTCCAATTAGAGCAGATGTAAGAAGCGATGTCCCTTGCTTCAGTAAGCACTACCAGTGCAGCAAGTAAATGCACTAGCACATGATCAATATAATAATTCCCGAAACCAAGGTACTCCAACTTATCGTGTGTTGCAGGGCAATTTACCTCACACACGAACTGAGACGCATACGACCAGTAACCACGCAGTGCAAACATAAGAGACAAACAACCACCGATGCTTAGGAGGGAGATAATGATGCTCAAGATGGACATCCGGCGACTTGGATATGAGATTGAGAGAGATGAATAGTAATAATCATAAAGAAAAGAAAGCTCGTCCGCAATGACCCTGAATACCCTCTCGTCGTCACCATCCTTTAGCAACACTCGCCAGAAAAAGTTATTAACCTTGTGAAAACCAGCCTCGGCAATAGTGTACCTTGCAAATCTACATCGCAGTAACTTGAACAATGTAAAGGAGAGGCACACATCTTTGAGTCGTGTTGATGACCCCAAAAGCATGTCCTCTAATAGCCAAATTTTGTCGATGGTCACTAGCATGTTGTTTGTCCTAGCTTCCTCGGACATGCGTACAAAGCAGTAACCACGAGGTTGCTTCTTTACCCGGGAAGTCTCCTCACCCATAACCAGGAGTGGAGGAGGTGCACGCTCACTCGGTTGACTTCTATTATTCAGCTGCTCCATATATCCAACAACAAGACGGGGGTTGAGTCCAAGAGCAATTGATCTCCGAACTTTATAAAACGCATGGAACTTGAAGGTCATTTTGGCGAAGATGATGACAAATGTCCCAAGGTAAAGAAATCCCAACAATGAAGACATTCTGGCTGCAAAAGTCTTGAACACAAACCCAAATGTATCTATATCTAATCCTGCGTAGTAGATCGCAAGGTAACAGGTCCACATTGCTTGGACAAGCAGAACCACTGAAGGGCCAGTGTTTCGGCCTTCTCTCTCATCGCCGGCAACTACAACGCTGATGTTTATGGCAACAATTTGAACAAGGCAAGCCCATCCTATGACTAGGCGTGTGGTAAAGGCTGCCTGACACTCCCCGACTAGGATTGCACTATGAGCATTTGTGAAGGCGGTCATATAAGTGCCACCAATACCAGAGACAACATATGACATGATTGGTAGGAACAATGACGTGGCTCCATCATAGAGGAAGCGGGTGAAGGGGCGGTGGCGATAGTGATGGCCATATGCACCTATTCCAACCATGATTACCACCAATATAGCATCCACCGTTAGCAGAGCATTGCTTCTCCACGTTTCTGCTTCCTTGCTCGCATAAAAGGCGTCATATGGGCATGTATCTTCTCCCTCCATGAGTGTCTGGTTGTCACCACATTTGATACAGTTAGCACTTAACTAGACCGACCGCACACGCATTTGCATGGCCATCATATTTACAATGTTTACAAAGGCGTTGAAAACTATTAGCTTGGACATTGACATGTGAAAACATTAAAACAACGTCATGATGGCCTACAGTAAAGTTCAGTCGTTATCTATTTCCAACATCATGCATGTGTTGGATACAATGTCATATTTAGGAAAATAAAGTTGGCAAAGTTCCTCTGTAGGTCGAGCTACATGGAACCTCTTATCTTCAGCCCTTCAACATTGCGTCGAGATCCGTACTCTTCAACTAACTTGCAACAAGAAGATTTCTCTTTTTTGTTTCTCTCAAATGAAAGAACATATGGACTTCAAACTTTGCAGATCAAACAAACTTTACAACTTCAATGTGTGAAAAAAGTTTCAGATTTTTTGGACCAATATAAGTATACAAAATGAGGATTTTTATGATTAAAAAAAATAAGTTTTAGCATTTTAAATGCATGAAAAAATCTGAAAGTTTTTCCCGCATAGTAATTAGAATGTTTTGTTGTCCTGCAAAGTTTGAAATTTATACATCGTTTCGTCTGGGAGAAACAAAAATGACAAATGTGCCTACACGGATCACGATGCAAAAATGAATGGCTAAGACAAGGGGTACCATGTAGCTCAAGCTACACAATAAAGTTGCAAGAACCCACAGGACATCTGCGAGTTCATATATTAAGGAAGCATTGATCTGAAAATACAAGGACATTCAGTGGAAGGAAGCACCTCGCCAAGAACCACTAACTACCCGGACTTAAGGGATGACTCTTGATAGATTACCACCTCCCACCATCCGCCTTTCACGACAATGATCTCGAATTTCGGCAGTAACCTCTACTGCAGGGATGATGGTTTCTTCTCTCTATTCGATAATTTGATCTCTTCCACTAGTTGGAAAGCATTAATTTAGTAATTCTTTTTGTTGAGACAATTCCTTTCTCTTATCTACATTAGTTACAAATTTGGCTCTACTTTTCCACTTCTTATCTACATCAGTTATCTATAGGTGTTTATGGATCGAGTGATGGTTGTCAATTCCTTTCTCTTATCTACATCAGCCATCTATAGGTGTTTATCGAGTGATGGTTGTCAGAGTGTAATTTTTTTTGTTCTTTCTATATATATTATATTGCTTGTGGGAATTCAGCACACTGAACTTTGCTTAATTTTTGCAGTCCCTTTGGGCTCATGTGCAGTGCCTAACGTGTGGGCATGACACAACAACATAGTAATGAAATTCAATGGTCATGATTTTATTCGTGGTAGGACTAAGAGCTTAATTGACAGTTTATTTGATTTTGTTAGGTGCTTTAGATAAGTTTAGTGACAGGTTTGTGTTAGTTAATCCTTTTATACAAACAATGCAGAGGAGAGAAAAAATAAGTAAGTCTTAACAAATAATGTTATAACGAGCTCAAATTACCTGGTGGTGGCCCATGGAGATTGCAAATACGGGAGGCGCCTATCTAGACGTTGTAAACGAGCAGTTTGTTGATTGCCATATAATACGTGAGGCACCTAGCTTGCTTGCAAAGGCCACAAGATTTGTTGTTTTGAGGAATGAACAAATGGTCAGTACATATAGCAACTAGTATAGTTCATTGCCCCCAGCCCGACACATCGAATGATATCATGTGAGAGATGCTTACTTCTTTTTCAATTGTTCCTCGCACTATAGAATGACAGTAAGGCATATGTGCTAAACAGCTTGCTTTTTTGGTGTATGATTGGTTTTAAAGAAAAAGACGCATTATTGCCATGTGGTGGTTTCAAATAGTTTGGCCATTGCTTATCTGTTGTGCTCCCTCTTTTAGATATAGTCCACAAAGATTCACCTTTAACCAATAATTAGACCGATGGTACAAAATATTAATCAATTGGAATACAACAAAAAAAAAATTGTCATGACTTGATATTATTGATATAATCTTTGGTTAAAGTTAAATCTCAAAACATATGGGCACCAAGTACTCCCTCCGTTCCTAAATGTAAGTCTTTCTAGAGATTTCACTATGAACCACATACGGATGTATATAGCTGCATTTTAAAGTTTAGATTCATTCATTTTGCTCCGTATGTGGTCCATAGTGGAATCTCTCCAAAGACTTACATTTAGGAACGGAGGGAGTATATATTTAGAAAAGAGATGTACGAAGCATCCAACATTCCCCGACGGTAATATGGTCGAATTGACATGCGATGTGCTTGGATCTTGAGTAGTTGCCGTGCATCGGTGCCCAGTGAGGTTGGCGCTCATGCAAATCTCCCTCCTTGTCTAAGTCAAACATAACAGGTTACTCCACAAAATAAGTTGAGCACAACCAAAAAAAATTATGGGAGAAGAAAACAACAGATTCTACCGAGTACACAGCTCAACCAAATGCACCCCACTCTCGTCCCAATGCAACCACACTAGCCCATCCAACCTTATCGCATATATACAGCTGCAGATGTGTGTTCCTTTATTCGTTCCTTCACTGTAGGATAAGATGTGCATCTTTGATGAGGTCGAGCTTTCTCCTCTACCTTTTGCACAAGTCTAATACCTTATATTTTTCCATGTTTTTTTTTTTGCAAAAAGACCTAAGAAAAATAGGTTCACAATTTTGGTTGCCAAAGCGTTCTTCCTCCTGGATCTAACAGCGACACGTCGTTAGCATAGCTTGTTGTCACCTCTATGGCTCCGCTTGTGCGGAGTAAACTTTGGGAAACCCAAGAGCTTGTAGAAGCAGTAGCTAGGGAGTCATCGATGTAGACAAAGATGCTGGCGCCCGTGATCATTGAAGCAAATCGCCTCCCTAGTGAAGAAAAAAAATCACTGATAAGGGCATGTAGAAACTCTGAAGATCGACCATGGGCCGGTTGGATCCAGATGGACCCATTGAAAACCTAAACCAACTGGATCTTGAAAGACCTACTGGAGAAATGGCTCCACATGCCCTCCATTTTGCGGAAAGCTTGATGTGTTTGTTATATGGTTCAATAATCGGTGGAGAACCTCTACTCCTAAACAGGGAGTTGGTAGCCCGGTATCCAGGTTTATTTTCGCCTCACCGGTTTATTTTCGCTTCACCTCCAACCACCTTCTCCCACTACATTTTTCTCCCTCATTAAAAAAAACAAATCCCATAAAATGGGAGATCTTCCTTCATGCTTGCTTTGGCAGATGCTGATTTAATTCAATCACGTAAATAATAGGTAATTCAGAATTCAGAAATCACACAATATATGTGAAATCATCTTGCTAAAAGATAGACATCAAGTTTTCTCAATAACCTTCCAAAACAAAATCAGATAGTCAAAAACAAATCGCTAATCCCGCGCGCCATGTCATTTATTATTATCATTATCGGTACAATTAATTGATAATCACAATTTTCGTAATACAACAATGTGCAATCACGGACGGTAATCAATCTTTGGTGACAATGTATTTCACGTATGGCAATCAATCTCTTTTATCATAAAGCAATCAGTTCATGTCAATCACTGATTTTTTCCAAACAAAATCAGATATTTCTCAACAACATATCGCTAATTCCGCGCACTATGTCATTTATTATTATCGTTATCTCTACAATTGATTGATAATCACAACTTTCCTAATACAACCATGTGCAATCACGAATGGTAATCAATCTTTGGTAACATTGTATTTCACGTACGGTAATCAATCTCTTTTATCGTAACGCAATCAATTCGTGTTAATCACAGATTTTCCAAAACAAAATTATATATTTCTCAATAAGATATCGCTAATCCCTTGCACTATGATATTTATTATTTTCATTAGCTCTACAATTGATTGATATGCGCAACTTTCCTAATACAACAATGTGCAATCATGGACAGTAATCAATCTGGATAACATTGTATTTCACGTACGGTAATCAATCTCTTATATCATAACACAATCAATTCATGTCAATCACGGACGGTGTGCTTCTCTTTCTTATCGTGATTTATTTCTGCCTTTTCTATGCCCTAAAAATCTCTCCCTGCTTTCCAGATTTCCTCTCGGATCCCGGCTCACGATCTTGTCGCCGTACTCCCCCACGCGTTGTCTTCACTAGCTCTCCCAACCTGACAGTTGCGCCACCCAAGGACAGCCCAGCTCGCCACCGTCAAGTAATCAACCGTGTCACAACGACTAGCCGACTACACACACAGAGGAGCAGGAAGAGTACGGTAAATAAAAATCCCGAATTTGGAAAATAATAATAATGAATGACAAAAAAAGTAAATTTGAAATAAAATTCATGAATTTAAAAAATGTTCATGAATTCGGAAAAAACATACAATTCCTAAAAAACACAAATTTGAGAAAATGTTCATGGTTCTGGAAAAAATTGCGGGTTTAATTTTTTTATTTATTTAAAATATATTTTTCCAAATTTCTAAAATGTTCACATTTAAAAAAAAGTTATTATCTAAGTAGTGAAAACTGGAAAACGAATAAGAATAAATAAACTAAAGTTTTTACCATTTATGCCACTATTTGTGTCCCACTACTCAGTTTTGCCATTAGAAGTTACAACTACTCAAAAATGCCATTGATTCGTGAGATGCTTGCTCAAAAATGCCATTAGATATCTCAATAATGCCATCATTCCGTTAGATGTTTGCTAAAAAATGCCATTAGACATTGTTATTTTCACGTGAAACCCGTTGACCATGTTATACGACAAAAATAAGCCTAGACCAACATGTCAATTCTCTCTATTTCACAATGATAAGTGTGGTCCCACTTGTCAGGAGTAACCAAGCGAATAATTTTACCGGAAAAGGAGAACGCTGTTGGGAACAAGTGGGCCTCACGCTTTATTGTAGTGAGATAGAGGGAGAACTGGCATATTGGTTCATAGGTATTTATGTCATTATAACATGGCAAAAGAGATTTAAGATCACAATAATGGTGCCCAGTAGCATTTTTGAGCATGTGTCTAACGAAGCGATGGCATTTTTAAGCAGTTGAAATTCCTAGTGGTAAAACTGAGTAGTGAGACACGACAAATGGCATAAATGAGAAAAAAACCAAAGAATAAAAATGAATAGAACACCGGCCTATAAAACGATGGAACTTTCTAAATGGTTCCCAAAACCCGTGCAATAAACCTATGTGGGTCGACCCACATTGGAACTCCGTTAGGGGAATGTGAGCGCCCCATACAGGATGGCTACTTTTAGGCGCATAAGATCATATAAAACTACGATGTCTATATCTCCAACAGTATTTGTTGAGTTGCATATATAAATGAATTGCAGTATTGTTTGAGGTCACTTAAATGTTGAGGGAACATACAAGAAACCAGGACATATCAACCCTTAACAAATGAAGCAGTCTCAGTTCCTGAATTTTAGTATTGTTTGCAAATGACAGTGTCTCAAGAAACAGAAAAAAAAAACTCCTCCAAACAAAAGAAACTACAGAACATATCAAAAGGGAGGCCAAAAAATCCAAATTGATAAATGCATTCTTCTACAGCATGTCCAAAAAACAGGAAAAGAAATCTCCAATCAAAAGAAACGGACATTTTTATATCTTTGTTCCTGAACCGTGCTGTGCTCAGATGAATTGTAATCTACTCCCTCCGTAAACTAATATAAGAGCGTTTAGAATACAAAAGTAGTAATCTAAACGCTCCTATATTAGTTTAGAGGAAGTATTATAGAACAATAGCAAAAAAATAATGTTAGCCCAAATGAAGATAATCAAATTTTGGTTAGGCAGCCTTAGGCCCAGTTTAAAGTTGTTGTGCTGGACTGTGAAATTTAGTGGATCTTTCTACTGCTTCAAGTAAAAGGAGAGATCTTCACCTAGACGAATCACTTCCAACAAACTACTAACAAACCGTTGAACATCCATCCAAAATGTGCAGTCACTACTTCCATTTTACAAGAACAAAATGTGCAATCAAGAGTGACTGTCATTGTTCACCTCAACAACAGCAAAAAATGTTTTCCCAGCTAGTGTGGATGCAAACCGGTCCCTTGTCTCACCGTGAAAGAGAGAAACTTTAGAGCTAATGCACAATGTCAAGGTCAAGGTCATATGCCAGGACCAATTATCATATCAGTAACAATGTCAAGGTCATATGTCTCTGTCTGTGTTAGGTGATTCGACCCATGCACATGTAAATGTTCTGTCGCCACATTCAGTAATTTCCTCTCCTTTTTTCTTTGCAAAGCAGAAGATATGAGGTTACAATTAGAATACTACTAGCGTCCTATCGGGGTCAGGTTACATCACCTCCTTCCATTTGCTTCCTTCAGACTAGAGACCGTACCTAAGTAAAGGCTGATGATGGCTATAGCTAGTGCTACACTGCTACTGCTCTACTTGGTGCACCCTGCTGAACCAAACCGAGTGCAGGATCATGTGGAAGATGTCGTACTTGACGGGCTTCGTGTGCCACAGAAAGTGCCTCTGCACCTTCT